TAAAGTGTACGTTCAAAGCTGGCACAGTGCGTCATTGTTGATTTTACTGGTTGAGACAGTTACAAAACAACCCCAAATTCAAGGAGGTGGGAATAAGACTACCTTGCAAAGGAGAAATTGTATTAGAATGTAAAGAAGTAAGGAGCTGATAGCACCCAACTTTAGAGTGAGTGACCACAGGGAGCTGAAACAGTGGATAATGTGTGTGTCCACTTGTAACCTTAGACACCAGCCTACCCTGTTTGCATAGTCAACAAACATCACTGTACAGCTGACGGAATAGAAAGCATCTTCCATTCCAACATCCAGAAATGCAGAATGGCTCTTCCGTGTTTTCTGACTTTAGCACTATGCTTTCAGTGTCTTAGAACACTGAACAAAAGTAGGAAAAAATAAGTAATTCTATAGTTATTTTTAGTGTTTCAGAACACTTTAATTTTTGCTTCTTCTGCCAAAGACAGGAGTAATATTTTGTCTTAAATCAGAAGGAAGTGAAGGTTCATCTCCATCATGTAACTACTGACCACATAGAGACTAGAATTGGTAGAGTCCTGAATTCTCAGTTCCTACATTGATTTGATGCTGCATTCCAAGATTAGAATTTTCTGACAACTTGAAGAAATTTTTATAATTCATGGAAAGGGTCCTAGCATAGTCATAGGATCAGTCATCCACGTAAACTTGTATTAAAAATGCCATATTCCTAGAGATTTTAAAACTCACTTCTGGGTCTGGAGAAATGGTTTGGTGGATTAAATCTTGCAGTGCAAGCATGAGGAGCAAAGTTCAAGTCCTCAGACCCACATAAATGCTAGATGGGCATGGCAGCCCACCTGTAATTCCACCCTTGGAAGGTGGAGTTGGGATCCTTGGAGACTGGCTATCTAGACTTGCCCATATTAGTGGGCTCTGGGTTCAACTGAGAGACTTTGAGTCAATGAATAAGGTAGGACGTGATCAAAGAAGACTGAAATCAACCTTGAGCATTCACATGTATATACCATACACACATAGGTGTGCAAATCAAAAACTCACTTTATTATATTTTTATTGATATTATGCTTAGTTAGACCTCTTATAAAAATAGTATATAAATCAAAATGTCATGTCATTAAGTATGAATATAGTATTTACCTTATATAGTATCAGGAAAATTGGAGATCACCGCAAACCAGAGTAATATAAAGTGGTTTTATGGTGGAGGTGGAACTTGAAATACATGTAAATAGAAGCATGGGCACACGTGTGTGTGTGTGTGTGTGTGTGTGTATCAGAAAGGAGATAGAACATAACTGAACATGAGTGCAGATTTAGTTTGGCGTGATTAGAGGCATAGAGACGATAAGAAAACTGATACTGGAGCAAATGATTTGAACTATGAAAGATAAAATCAAACAAAAATATATTAAAGCACCTATTTGGCCAACCAAATGTGTTGTACAAGGTTGGATTGAAAACAAAGCTAAGTGAGGGCCAGATTTGTTGTAGTATGCTGAGGACAGATCAGAATAAGAAGAGGGTTTGTGGGTATGATTTTTTTTTATCATGGATTACACTAACCATAGCAAGGGTGATGGCAGTGAGAATAATACATGCAGTATCATAGAAAGTACATAGACAAGCAACTCCAGGTATCAGGAAAAGAGGGACCAGACGTCCAGCTGTTTGTACTAAGAGAATGCATGTGGTGCCTTTATTGGCCAGGAGAGTGTGTGTGTGTGTGTTCATTGCAAGTGCTAAGAGGTCTCCCTTGTAGGAGGGAGGAGCTTTATATACAGGTTTACAGCACAGTGGAAAAACCCCAGGTAGAAGAGAGTATGTTTTCCTCCTGCTAGATGTTGATGTCAGAGGGTCAAGGCCAGGACAGTAAGCCAGGACTAGAAAACAGAAAGCACTTGGACTGGAAAACAAGTTGCACTTGTAGGCTGACCAGCAACTCACAGAGACTCCATGGGGCTGGGGCCCAACATCTCCCCCCCTTCTTTATATATAAATTAGCACCTATCTCAGGTGACTAGGATGTTAATGTTAATCTTAGTATACAAAAACAAACATTTATAAACAATATTTGGGAATGTGGACGTCGTTCTTTGCAAACTACTTCCTGCTGTTAAGGGGCATGGAAATACCATGGGGATCATGACCAAAAAAAAAAAAAAAAACCCAGAAACCTGTTGAAGTTCTTGTTTTTGTGTTCTGTAAGGCTGCATCATCTCAGCTGTTTTAGGTGTTGGATCACCTGGGCCACTGCTTCAGGTGGTCTTGCTTCTTCAAACCATACTAGTCTGGTAGGAACCCACAGCTTTTTATGTTCTGTGGAAACAAAAGCAGAAATTCTTTTCCCAAGTAACCTGTCCTTATATTTAAATTTAGAAGTCAAAGCATTTTCAAAACATGCAAGTTGGATTAATTTAGCAACATTAATAATCAATTGTCTTTTAGCAGTTTTGTTTCTTTCTCAGCAATTAAACAATTTAAAGACACCACAACTGTACAGAGTATCCAGACTCTCTGTGTATTTTCCATTCTATATACTTTTATCTTTTCCTTTTCTTTTACTTAATACCAGTACCTCCTTCATTAACTGTTACCAATTTTCAATTCACCCACCTTTAATCCATCCTCCAACTGAGGGCGATCTCTCAGGTTCCCCTTTCTTTCCTGACCTTGGGGTCAGGCGAAGGCCTGGAGATTTAATCCAATCCACCCTCCAACCTAGGGTGATCTCTCAGGGTCCCCTTTCTTTCCTGACCTTGGTGTCAGGCAAAGGCCTGGAGATTTAATACAATCCACCCCCCAACTGAGGGCGATCTCTCAGGGTCCCCTTTCTTTCCTGACCTTTTTTCAGATGAAGACCTGGAGATTTAATCCAGTACCCCTAGCTTGGTACCCCTTTTTAACACATCTGCATAGCCTTACTGGCCAGCCTTTTAGATCTCTCAGTTCCCCTTTACTTTCCTGACCTCAGTGGATCAGGCGAAAGACTGGAGATTTTTTATTTTATTTCTTATTTTACATTTTTTTTTGAGACTGGGTTTCTCTCTATCCTTTTGGAGGCTGTCCTGGAACTGGCTCTATAGACCAGGATGGCCTCGATCCTACATAACTCTGCCTCCCAAGTGTTGGGATTAAAGGCGTGTGCCACCAACACCCTGCTCTCTGAAAATCATGGCGAACATCCTCCCAATCTGGGACATTTAAGCCTCCCCCAATAATGAACCATGGACTCGCACGTTCAATCCATTTTAGAAAGCCTTCCATGGTTGTAGTCCCCTGTTCTTCAAGTAACTTTTTTATGTGATACTGTAATTTAAACTTCCAGGGACTATTTCCCATTGTTTTTTTTTTTTTCCTATTTTCCCCCATCTGTCCCTGGCTGGCAAAAGGGACGACCCCATCCACGTACCTCGCTTTCACATCTGGGTGGAACCTCCAATTGTCGTGTCCGCTGCAAGCAACTCCAGGTATCAGGAAAAGAAAGACCAGATGTCCCGCGAGAATGCATGTGCTGCCTTTATTGCCGAGAGAGAGAGAGAGAGAGAGAGAGAGAGAGAGAGAGAGAGAGAGAGAGAGAGAGAGAGAGAGAGAGAGAGAGAGTGTGTGTGTGTGTGTGTGTGTCTTCATTGCAAGTGCTAACAGGTCCCCCTTGTAGGAGGGAGGAGCTTTATATACAGGTTTACAGCACAGTGGAAAAACCCCAGGTAGAAGAGAGCATGTTTTCCTCCTGCTAGATGTTGATGTCAGAGGGTCAAGGCCAGGACAGTAAGCCAGGACTAGAAAACAGAAAGCACTTGGACTGGAAAACAAGTTGCACTTGTAGGCTGACCAGCAACTCACAGAGACCCCATGGGGCTGGGGCCCAACAGTAGTATGCTGAGGACAGATCAGAATAAGAAGAGGGTTTGTGGGTATGATTTTTTTTATCATGGATTACAGTAACCATAGCAAGGGTGATGGCAGTGAGAATAATACATGCAGTATCACAGAAAGTAGGTAGACTTTGCATTAGTTTACTAGAGCTGCCGTAAAAGGTACCACAGACCTAGTGGCTTAGAATGATACCAGTTTACTCTCAGAATTCTAGAGGCCTACAGTTTGAAAGTAAGGTTGTTTACAGAGCACTGGGAAACCTGTAAGGGAGGTATCATTTCCTTTTGTCTTTTTGGTAGTTGGCTGCAGTGTTTATGTTCTTTGTTTTCATATCCTCTACACATCAAAACTCCAGAGTAGCAGGCATTGTTCATTGCACCCTCTCCCCAACCACAGTTCGCATTTGTTTGTTTGTTTGTTTAGGCATTGTTTTCTTATGCAGCCCAGGCTTGCCTGGAATTCACAAGCATAATGTAGCATTGACTTCTGGTAGACCCAACTCACTCACTCTAGCAAGTACTTCAGTAGAAGTTGGTACCACCATGCCTAGGCCTAGCTTTTAAATCCTGAACTCCATCAAGTAGGATGATATGCTCAGAGGATGAATTTTATTTAGAACAAAGTTAGAAATCTTTTTTTTTAATCTGGTTTTTTGAGACCTGGACTTTCTATGTTGTCTTGGCTGTCTTGTAACTTCCTTTGTAGACCCTATTGGTATCAATCTCACAGATACTTGCCTACCTGCCTGCCGCTGATTCCTGAGTGCTGGATTAAAGTCTTATTTCTTATAGAAAGTTAGAGGTACTATTCCTTATTCCCTTTAATGGTAAGTTACCAAGAAATCCAGTGTGAAAACACTGACCATTCAGAACCGGTATTGTTTAACTAGATAAATGTACAGGGTGGAGGTGGCTGAGTGGTGGTCTTCCTGTGAAGTGTGCTGTGTCCTACACGGGTATGGTACTCGGCCTTTGAAGGATCAGCCTGTCCTTTGTTTTGCTCACAGGGTGTGTAAGTGCCCATCAAACGGATTGGATAGACATAGAGCAGCAATCAACACTTAACCAACCTAAGTAAGTAAGTGTGAGAAGGCCAGCTACAACTTTGTACTGTACTTTTTCTTCTTCCAGAATCTTCTCCAGGTGTGACAGAAGTGAGCATAATAGAGAAGCTGCCTGCTGAACGTCATATGATTTCTTCATGGGAACAAGTAAGTGTTTCTGTGTTCAGTCTTCATCTCCCAACAAATAAAGGTCAATTTAAATGCCCCTGGGAAGGAATGATTAGAACAAGAAACTTATTCTATCAGGTCACAGCTGCCTTTTATTTCATTCCAATTCCCAGCAAAGCGTCTTCTCTAACCCTGGTAATCCTGTGGAAGCAGTGGATGTTTAGGTTGTGTACATATACAACAAAACTACAAGTCCGGCTGTGGAAGAAAAAGATGCCTGTTAGTATGCATCAGGCCAGACAGAAGATGGTTAAGTGTTGCAGAAAAACACTAACTGGATCTGTGCCTGGTGCCTCCCAGTTTTCCTCTGTTAATTAATCAAACTTAAATGCTTGTCATTAACAGGACTTTTCATGGTCTGTATATAATCAAAGAATCTGCCTCTGAATTTTCACAGCATCCCAGGGCCAGGAGAGCTGCATTATTATTAAGCATCTTGGTGACTTTGCATAGTTAGAGTCCGTGACAATTCTTGGGCTAGACTCTCCAGGACAGTGTGCTGATAATGGAGTATAACTCACAGAGACCCCACGATTTGGCAAAATGCCCCTCTTTCAACCTTAGATTATGGTCATAGAGTCTAGGTTTTCTTGTGGATAAGTCCTTCACATACTCCTGCTGTGAATATATTGTAAGCATTTACCACATAACAAGTGACGATCCCTTTCAGCACCCCAAGCTCCTACTCTTCTGGTAAGTGCTTCATTTCCCCCTCGGCAGTACATTGACAGCTTCCTTCTTAAAATCTAAATAAAGAAAAGCAAAACCTTCAGTATGTTCCCCTTCTAACTGTTTAACTGTCCTTTGCATGAAAAGCATGTAGAAAACATGTCTAAGTCAGGGTTCAGGAATTATTTTCTGTTAAAGGAACAAGTAATAGTTCAGGCTCTGTGGCATCTCAGTCTGTCACAGCAACTCATTTTTACTATGGGAACATTGAAAGCGGCCATCAACATACAAGTGCATGACGATGAGATAATATTTATATAAAAAAGAAGTGATACGACAGGTGCAGAGGGCCTGTGTGCTCTAATTTTCCAGGCCCTGGTCTGAACTATTGTCCCTTTGTCACCTCTCAGTTACTCTCTAGCTGTCTACAGCCTCTCTTCCTCTACTCCCGCTCTTTGGCACTACTCTGTCACGTCATTTCCTTGTCTACTTTTGGTATCAGGGTAGTGCTGGCTTTGTAAATGAATTCGGAAGGGTTGCCTCGTTTCAATACATTTGGATTGCACTCGGGAGGCAGAGGCGGGCAGATCTGTATGAGTTCAAGGCCAGCCTGACTTACAGAGTGAGTTCCAGGACAGCCAGGATTGTCACACAAAGAAACCCTGTCTTGAAAACCCAAAGATAGATAGATAGATAGTAAGTTGCCTGGTCCTGCTGCCATTTATCCCCAAATGAACACACAGAGGAGTCTATTAATTATAGCCTGTTGGCCAATGACTCAGACTTCTTACTGGCTAGCTCTCTCTTATTTAGTAACCCATAACTACTAATCTATGTATTTCTACATGGCCTCATCTTACCAGAGAACGCCCAGAGCATCCTATCTTCCCGGTATCTACATGGTGTCTCCTTGCTGTCTCTCCCTGTGTCCTCTCCCCAGCCTTCTCCTCATCTGGTAACACCATGTATACTTTCTGCCTGGCCACTGACCAATCAGTGTTTTATTCATCAACCAATAAGAGAAACATATATACAGAAGGACATCTCCCATCACTAAGATCTTCAATAAAGCCATACATTCCTGGATTTTCTTTGTTGGGCCACTATTACTGCCCTATTCTTACTCGTTATTGGTCTATTCAGGCTTTCTGAGTCCTCCTGGTTCTAATTTTTTGTTTCATTATAAATTTCCTCTAGTAATTCTGGTTTATTCTTTTCTCATTCCTTTGTTGTATTATTAGTATATGTATTTGAAGTCTTATCTGTATGTGTCTATAGGCACTTTTAGTACTGTTCGCTGTTAGTACTGGTTTCGCTATACCTTGTAGGTTTTATTATTAATATATTTTAATTTATATGTTACCCTTTGTGGCAATTTGAAAAAGGAAGTGGTGCTATTAGGAGATGTGGCCTTGATGGAGTAAGTGTGGCCTTGCTGGAGGAAGTATGTCACTGTGTTGGTGGCTTTGTTATACTCAAGATACCACCTGGTGTCTCAGACCACTTCCTGTTGCCTGTGAGTCAACATGTAAAAGCTCTCGGCTCCTTCTCTAGCACCACAACTGCCTGCATGCTGCCATGCTCCCTGTCATGACGATAATGTGAAACAGCACCACAATTAAACTCTTTATAAGAATTGCAGTGGTCGTGGTATTTCTTCACAGCAATAGAAACCCTAACTAAGACACTCTGGTTTTAAGAAATGTTTACATTTCTCTTTGATTTCTTCATTGATTTGGTTTTCTCTGAAGAGAATGTTGTTTAATTGATATATTTGTGTTTTCTTAAATCCTTCTTACTGATTTCCAGTTTTATTCCATTTTGGTCAGAATTTTCTTTGAATTTCATGAGACTTGTTTTATAGCTTATAAGTTCCTTATAGAATGTTCCATATTCTAATAAGAAAAGTGTTATTCTGCAGTTTTTGGTTGAAGTGGACTATAAATGTATGTTATGTCCATAAGTTCTGAAGTATAGTTTAACTCTGTTTTTATTTTACTTTTATGAATGATTTGTCCACTGATAAAAGTTATCTGTGGATAAAATTGTTTCAGTGCCTGACTGTTGTTAAAACTGAGTCTGTTCCTCTCTTAAGAGTAAATATCTTTATTAGATATTTGGGTATATGCATTGTGGTGGTTTGAATGTAATTAGCCCTCATAATCCCAAAGAGGGTGGCACTCTTAGGAGATGTGGCATCGTTGCAGTAGGTATGGCCTTGTTGGAAGAATTGCGTTACTGTGGGGGCGGGATTTGTGGTATTTTTTGCTTACTCTGCTCAGTGTCACAGTCGACTTCCTGATCAAGGTGTAGTCAGCACCATTTTGCCTGCACACTGCCAGTGCTCCCCACCATGATGACAATGGACTGAACCTCTGAACTGTGAGCTGTCACCTCAACTAAATGTTTTCCTATGTAGGAGTTGCTGTGGTCATGGTGTCTCTTCACAGCAATAGAAACCCTAACTAAGATACACATATATTTACAATGGTTGCTTCCTCTTATTGAATTGATCCAATTTCCTTTGTATAATGACCTTCATCTCTTTTTAAAGTTTCTGGCTTAAAATCTATTTTATCTGATACAAGTATAGCTAACTACTCTTACTCACTTTTGATTTCTTTGCATGTTATGGTGGTCAGCTTTCCATTACTATAATGAATACATGATATAAGTCAATTTGAAAAGAGGAACATTTTATTTTTACTCATGGTTTTGGAGATTTCAATCCATAGTTTCTTGGCTATTTGTTTTTGGACCTTTGTAAAAGTGGTATATCCTGGCTGGAGGGTGTAGTATAGAAAGCTGTTCAGTTCATAGCAGTTGGAAGACAGCGAGAGGTAAGAGGCTGAATTCCACCATTCCCTTTAAGGGCATGCTCCCACTGATCTAAGACTTCCAAATAGATCCCACCTTTTAGGTTTTAGTAAACTACCTCCTCTGCCTTTTCTTAGGGAGGACTTTGAAAATGCTTTGTGATTTGTCCTAGGGATTTCATACAACTCCATGGCCTAGGTTTTCCATCCATAGAGAATATCCTCTCTAAGAAGACTTTAAGTAGATACATTTGTACTCATAGCTTCAGAGTGCCAGTAATATTTTCATGTGCCTTCTTGGTGGCCTTCATGAGAAACCTTTTATTTAGTTATATTTGCAACAGGCACTCAGATTGCCAGTTTAGCAAACACAAACGCCTGTTTCAAAATTAACATCCACTATCCTATGCCCTTCCAGATAAAGTACTTCAGTGGCAGAGGTAACAGTAGCATACAGGATTGTGTAGAAGTTGGCTGGTGAGCAAGAGACAGTGGGCAACTCCTCCTTCTCTCCTGAGGTTTAGACAGTTCTCATGAAGAATTTGTAGGAATTCACTTGATGGTTCCCAAAACTGATGATGTAATAGTAGAGTTTCTAGTGGTTACATTTTTAGAGTAGTTTACATAAATGTGTAGTTAGACTCAGAGGAGAAGAAGCATTGAAACTGGAGAACTGTGTATATTAGAGAACCCTGCATTGCACTGGAGTGTGTGGCTTCACTGTTGTAGGTCTTCCGGCTATTCTCTCTCCTTGACTTTCCTTTTAGCCCTCCCTCCAATCTTCATTATGTTCCCTCTTTCATTCACTTCCTGCCCATTATCTTCTTCCTCCTTCCTTCCCATCTTCTACCACCAAAGGCAGGGAACAAGAGGAAGAAGAGTGAGTCTGCATTTGTTGTGGGAAGCTGGTTGTTCTCCCCAACCCCAGGAAAAGCAAACTTTATATTGGCTGAAAGAGAAATTAAAATAGCAGCAGTTGAGTCACTGACCAGGGCAGATAAGTCACCTAAAAGTAGTGCCCTGGAAACTTAACCAAGTAAAGTCAACTATGGCAGGAAGCCCTGGCAGCAGCTTGGGTATCTGTGACAGAAAGACCTGCAGCAAAGCAACCCTCAAGACCAGGCCAGGACCTACCAGTCATTACATTAGAAGGATGGTGTAGACTTGGTGTTTTTAATGACATTTGGTTTACTTCACAATTTATATGCTCAGGGTAGTACTTGAAATATTTTGTTTTGGTAGTTTCCCTGGTTTATGAGTTTTGAATAATTCTATAAGAAAAAAAACTCAGTACAGGTGTGGATAGCTCAGTCAGTAAAGTACTGACACAGCATGAGGACCTGTGTTTAGTACCCAGAACCCAATCGGGATGGGGGAGGGAGCCAAGTGTGGTGGATGCACTTGTAATCCCAACCCAGTGAGAGTCCTTGTATCAAAAAGCAAAAAGGTAGACAGCACCCGAAGAATGACACCCAAGGTTGGCCTCTGGCATCCATGGGCACATACTTATATCATGCATTCACACACACACACACACACACACACACACACACACACACACACACGCTTGTATAAAATAATGTCTTTCTTGGCTGGTGAGACAAGTACTTAAGCAAATGCGTAATTAGTACTACTAGAATAGCAAATGAGTAATTAGTACAACTAGAATTCTCCAGCCTTACTTAAAGATGACCTTACCAGCCCTTTTCTGAAGGAATCTCATTGACTATCTGTTAAGAATAGCTGGAAGAGCTGAATATAATGATGCATTCTGCAATCCCAGCTATTCAGAAAGCTGAAGCAGAGGAATCGTCAGGTGGAGGACTGCCTGGACTACAGAGCAAGACACAGGCACACATATATATCATATACATATATATGTATATATTATGTATGTACATATATGTATATCTTATATATGCATATACACACATATACATATATGTATATATGTTTTATACGTGTGTGTTATATGCATATATTTTTTGTGTATGTGTGTATATATAAATAAAATCTGTACCCCTACCATCCTGATCTTTATACTATTCCAAAAAAAGGAAAAGAAAAAATGCAGAAGCCTCCAGGTTCTGTTTCTCTACCAATAGATGGCACCAGCAGTCAAAATCTGCCAGTGGGTCCTAGTCTCTTAGAACTACAGAAGTAATCTCTGGGTTTTTTTTTAATTAAAAAATTTCTTTTCACACAATATATTGTGTTCATGTTTTTCTCTTTCCCCAATTTCTTCCAGATTCTCCTTACCTCTCTGCTCACCCAACTTTACATTCTTTACCTTTTCCTTGTTCTGTGTCTTTCAAAAAATAAGAAGCAGAAACCCTACAAAAAATGAAAATCAAAGCAAGCAAAAGACTAATACGACAAAAAATGCCAGGACAAAATGTAATGAAACAAAATGTCTACAATACTTCTATTGAGTTTGTTTTGTGCTGGCTAGCTACTCCTGTGCACAGGGCCTTCCCAAAAGTGTCATTGATATACCTAGTGAGACTCCACTGGAGAACACTGGTTTTCCCTTTATCAGCTAGTATCAGTTGCAGATGAATCCTTGGTCAGGGATGGGATCCTATGTCTACTTTCCCTGGTCAGTGCTGGGACACTGTCTGACTTGAACCTGAACAGGTCTAATGTGTGTTACCACAGTCTCTGTGAGTTCCTATGTTCTTCAGTCCCATTGTATCTTGAAGACACTGTTTCCTTGAAGTCATCTATCACCTTTGCCTCTTATTCTTCATAGGACCCTGAGCCTTAGCTGAAGGTGGGGGATTGATGAAGACATCCCCTTTAGGACTGGATGCTGCAAAATCTCTTATCTCTCACTTTCTGCACATTGACCAGTTGAAATCTCTGTTAATTAACATCTGCTGCAAGAGAAAGCTTCTCTGATGTGGTTTGAGCAAGGAACTGGTCTATGGGTATAGTTGTATGCCATTAGGAGTTATTTGCATACAGAATAAGCAGTGGGTATTGTCTTAGACATGTCTAGTCTTGGGTTCTTGGTCATTTTAGCAGCATCAGGTACAGATTCCATCTCATTAAATCCAATCAAAAAAGTGAATGGTACTTGCCCCCCCAAGCCCTCTGCTTGAGGTAGTCGGGGTTCCACCCAGGTCCACCTCCCTCTATCCCCTCCTTGGAACTTCCTAGATCTTCTCCAAGTGTAGTGGACCCTCTCTGACAGCCCAGACTATCCATAGTCTTCCCGTGTCACAGTCCTGGCCCCCCCATTCCCTCTGCATGAGGAGAACACCAGGAGAGTCTGGACCATCCAGAGTTGCCAACATCGAAGTCTTAGTCCACCTACACTCCCCGAGAGACAAGAGGAGAGGGAAAGACCCCACCTGTACCCACTGGAAGTAGGGATGGGAAGACAACAGTATAAGAACACATTCAACAACAGAAAGACCAATATGACACCACCATAATCTAAGGACTCTACACCAATAAAACCCGAACATCCCAATGCAGATGAAGCAGAAGAGAATGACCTTAAAAACTACTTTATGAAGATGTTAGAGACTCTCAAATGGGAAACAAGAAAATCCCTTAAAGAAATGGATGAAAAAAACAAAAAAAATACAGGAAGTAGAGGAAAAAACAAACCAAAATGATCAAAAAATAAATTTCTTAAAGCCAAGAAAAAAAAACAAAACAAAAAAACAATCAAGTGAAGGAAACAATTCAAACAGTTCAAGGCTTGAAAGCTGAAATAGAAACAATAAAGAAAACACAGAAGAGGGAATGCTGGAAATTGAAAAGCTGGGTAAAGGATCAGGAACTACAGATGTAAGTATAACAAATAGAATACAAGAGATGGAAGTGAGAATCTCATGTGATGAAGAGCCACTAGAAGAAATAGAATCATCGACCAAAGAAAACCTTAAGTCCAGCAAATCCCTAACACAAAATATCCAGGAAATATGGGACACCATGAAAAGGCCACACCTAAGAATAATAGGTATAGAGGAAGGTGAAGAAATACAGCTCAAAGGTAAAGAAAACATACTCAACAAAATCATAGAAGAAAACTTTCCCAACCTAAAGAAGGGCATGCCTATGAAATTACAAGGATCTTATAGAACACCAAATAGACTGAACCACAAAAAAAGTGAATGGTTACTTTCATAACATTTATTTCACTACTATACCAATATTCTTGCAGACAAGTCACCGTTGTGTAGGACACAAGGGTTTGTGGATGTGTGATATTGAAGATAACCTTTTTCTTCCAGTAGCTCTTTTATGCTGACCCTTTCAAATTTTAGAATCTTAATAACACCTAACTGCAGGTATCCCATTATGAGCAGAAGACACTAAAAATTAAGCCCTGCCCAAGGTACTTTACTAAGTAGGAAATAGACTGAGGCAGAAGCAGGCAGATCTCTGTGAGTTCCAGGCCAACCTGGTCTACAGAGCGAGTTCCAGGACAGCCTCCAAAACAATACAGAAAAACCCTGTCTCAAAAATAAATAAATAAATACACATGTACATATGCACACCCACACAGAGTAAACAAGAAACAGAAAGGAAATTTAGAAACTTAATCCACTAAAATGAAAACTGTTGTCCATTTCAAAACCTAGAAATGCTGCTTAAAATCATCTGTAAGCCTATTTTCACATAAAATTCTTGAAGATGTTATAACTTCTCAGTCCTCTTTCTTCCCATCAGGTTGCCTCCCCCACCTCTAGTGTCGATTTCGCATTCAAGTTTATTCTTGAACCTCCATTAGCAGTTTAAGTGACAGTGTCCAAGGTTACTTGACGAATAGCAGAGCTGGAAAATGAACCCAGAGTGTCCTGCTGCAGAACACCACCACACTTAGTATTTAGAACTGGCAGTATCACCCAAAGTCTATAACACGTCTTCCAAGGGTCCACTAAGCAAAAGCTTGGATAGTTGCTACTGTCTTGTCTTTTAGCCTCTGTAGCCATGTCAGAAGTTATTGGAGAAGGTTCCAGAAAGGACCTGAAGAACTTATTTCTCTCTGCATTTCAGGGATTTGAGTTGAATAAAGAAGACTAGTCAGACCTGTACATGGGTTTGAGTGAGTTAGAATTCAAGGTTTGCTCCTATTACTGCCTGAAAAAAAACACTAAGCTGTTCCTTTGTTTGACACACCACCAGTTTGGGTGACTTTTTTACCCATATGAAATACTTTTGTTATAATCTTTTTGATAAGAACTATCACAGCTATTAAAATAGATCATGGTAGTAGATTCTATGGAAATGGCATACATGGCACACTTTTAAGGTGTTTTCCTGCCCAGTAATTTGTTTCAGAAATACATGTGCATTCCATTGTCCCCTCTTAGCTTTTACTCCCTTTGAACCCCCTCTTCAGCTAACATGTCAAGGCAGAACAAAGACCTAATCTGCTTTATCTGGGCACACACACAAACACACTGGTAACTGCTGGGCCCAGTACCCGTCTAGTAATTTTATAGGTAATATCAATCTTCCTACTTGGAGGATCAAGAAGATGCCTAACATTGTATGCAGAGCTCTGAAACATTGCCCTCATCTGCTTTCCAAACCCTGACCTAACACAGCACAATTTCTGATTCTAGAAAAACAATTGTGTGATGCCTGAAGATGTGAGAAACTTCTATTTGATGACCAATGGTTTTCATATGACGTGGAGTGTGAAGCTAGATGGTAAGTCGTCCTCCTTGATGTTGGAGAACATTTTCCTGGTGAAGAGTTTGGATGAGGCAACTCTGAAGGTCCTTAGAATTATAGTATCTTTTCATCTATATTGATTTTGGGGTCTAAAGTATCAAATCTAGGAGCCGTGAAACCCATCCTCTTCCAAAGCTAATTGATGCTGTCAGTGCATTGCCTACTCCTGTTTGAGCCTGGCTGGTCCTGATCTAGAAGTCCAGTTTAGAGACTTCTTATTAGAGAGAGTCATTAGTCACCACATAGAGAACCCAACCAACTCAAACATAAAGCATCTGAGAGCTCCCCCTAGAGCTACAACAGTACCTCCTAGTTTCCTTGAAACAGCTGACCAGTTCTCCCAAGCTTCCAACTTCATTCTCACCATTGTGCAATTTTAAGGCTCTAACCCTGAAAGCAGAGCTTCTCTTTCTCTCTTTACATCAATCACTTCAGCCTATATCACCAAACACCTTAGTTGCAGGCTTTTATCTAAGTCCTGTATCTATATCTAAACATTTGCATTGCAGATATAGAAGTCCTGGGTGTTACACGCCAGAGATTGCAGATAGCGTGTGAGATGTGAAAGGTGACAGGTGCTACATATGTGTATGAAAACACTTCAAACAGTGCATAAGTTAGGAAGTCCTGAAGTAGCCTTTGGGGCCCAGCATGTACCTGGCACAGTCTTACCAGACCTGACACCTTTATTACTCCAGCCATATCCCCACATGTTCTTTGGCCTAGGGAAGCACCTGTAGCTCCCCACTGCTGATAAGGAGGAGTGACTTCTGTTGCACAGAAAAGCTACATAGTGATTTCTCCCTTCCATGTCTCTGCCTCTGCTAGCACATCTGAATTGCCTTTCTAATGATTTTGAAACTTGTCAGTCTCCCGTACCTAGCCAGAGGTACTTTTTATAGATTATTAATGAATATATGATATTAGCTTCCAAAATCATTCGATTCAGTGACCTAAAAACCTTGTTCATAGTTATAATACCTTCTGTTACTTAATTTCTCAATCTCGGGCCTTTTTATCTCCATTGCTATTGGCTTAATGCAGTGACAGAAAAGGCAACAGGGCTGAAGAGATGACTGGGTGGTTAAGACCACCTGCTGCTCTTCCGCAGGATCCATGTTTGGTTCCCCAGCATCCACATCACTCAGAATCACGTGTAAATCCAGCTATGTGGGACCCAGGGACTCTTGTAGCCTCCATGAGAACTCATGCAGATGGCAGACACTCATACACACACACATGAATTAAAGGCAGCAGAGATGGCCTTTGATCTTTACCTTAGTTGTCTCTCCTGGTATTCCATGATCTGTATGCCTTTGCTCATTTCTAGCCTTTTTTAGATTTGTGAGTTTTTGTATGCCACTCTTTATCCAGCATCCTGTATTAGTAGGGTTCTGTATAATCTAAGGCAATATGTAATGTGCTGTTCCTTAGTTATACACTATTCACAAAAGACCAAACTCAACAAACAAGAAGGTTGCCAAGTTCTCTGTATCATCAAAGGGAAAATGACAGGGAGAGATATTTTCCATCATGAAGGCTTGTAATAAAAAGAGAAAGGGTCTATTGCATAAAGCCACTATTCCATTAGAAACTGTAGTTCTTGCCAGGCAGTAGTAGCTCATGCCTTCAATCCCAGCACTCACGAGACAGAACCAGGCTTATGTATGTGAGTTCAAGGCCAGCCTCATCTACAGAGTGAGTTCTAGGACAAGAAACCCTGTCAAAAGAAAGGGAAGAATGGAGAGAGGGAAGGAAGGAAAGAAGAGAAAGACAGACTGTAGTTCTGGCTAATACAAGGGAACAGAGTGAAAATATGTTTCAAACAGTTACTAACTCTAAATGTTTAGCCCTTTTCAATATCCCATTAAAAACTTTTCTTCAGTGTCCCCATAAACATAGTTGGAACTGCTCATCATCTTTGGCATGCAGTTCCTTTTTTTGTTTGCATATATAGTGAGTGTTGCTCCTTTCTGCACCCTCTATCACGCTCCTCAGCCATGGAGCCATTCTCAGTGGGCTTATTGGGTTATCCAAGCAAAAACACTTAGGGTCGCCATGTCTAGGCTACCACTTGTCATTCTCTTGTTCCCATAGAGCACATCATTCCACTGGGAAGCATGGTGATTAACGGCATTTCAAAACTGACTCAGCTCAACCAGTCTTCCATGTACTCACTTCCTAATGCACCAACTCTGGCGGACCTGGAGGATGATGACGAAGGTATCTGGTGGAACCCTTGCTTTGGGTTAGAAATGAGCCCTCTTGTCTCACTTTTATAATACTGAGAACTATAGGAATGTGCTGTAGAATTGCACTATGTCCTCTACACTACAACTCTTCATCCATAGCTTCTGAAAGGAAAATAGAAGCAGAAGAAAACAAGTATCAACACAGGAAAATTTCATGAGAGAAATTCCAGGGTCATGTCTTTGTTTCTTGTACCCATTTTAGTGGCAGACATGTAGTGGAGGCACTTAATGAGTAGTTACTGAGGGGATCAGTGTTATGGATTAAACCTAACTCACCAATTCAAAAGCCAGCCATGGTAGCACAGTACCTGGAAGGCTGTAGCAGGAGAAACATGCATTTGAATTCAACCAGCTACATAGTGTGACTGTTTCTGCTTTTCTCTCCATTCCCACCTCTAATCCCTTTGCCACTTGAGAATGAAAGGGCTTACAGATGAAATAGCTAGAAGAGACTAAGAGCAATAGTGTGTATACAGAGTATTTAGTCAGAACTGTGTTAACTGCTATAGCAGAATCAATTACACCGACTTCTGAAGTAGCAGTTCATTTTTCCACAAAAATCTTGACAGTGCGCTCCTACTGCACCAGCCTTTTGGGATATTATGTTGTATTGTATTGTGTTTTGTTTTTCTTCATGGTTGAGATCTACAGGCTCTACCTACAGGCTTCAAGTCTCTTCTCCTGGGGGAAAAAGAAAAGACAAGGTAGGGGAAAGGATCTTGGCAACATCTAACATTTCTGCCTTCTTATCAGAAAAATAGTATTCTCAAAAGCCATTGAAGTATTAAAGCGGGGGACTGTTGGGGTCTCTTTTGATTTGTACAGAATTATTTCTTCCAATGAAATTCGAAACTTATTAAGGAAAGGAAAATAGACAACTGGTTTCTAGGCCTCGAAGGTTCACTGAAGTTCTTAGAAAGGTAATAATCTAAGGCTTGCTCATAACTAGTTAATTAAGGAAGAATGGCAGCAGAGGGGTCAAGAGACAGACTGGTTAAATCATGAGTACTGGAAAAAGAGACTGTCCTTCACAGAGCTTTGGGATCCCCAGGAGTAGTAGGACTAGTTACATTGGTTTAATGCATGTATGACAAGTCTTCTCTAAAAGGCCAAGTAGTTAAGTCGGCAGGCTAGGTTGTTGCTGTCCTTGAGGTTAGAAGACACGAAGCACACTAGAGAAAATATTTTGGCAAAAGACCTGAACAAGGAGTGAGGACCACGGTGCCTCCATACCTGCAGGTGTAAAAACCAGAAGCTTCTGGTTTCTGCTGGGTCTGTGCATTTCACAATAGTATCACAACTAGACTTCAGTCTCATAGGACCTAAAAAAGAAACACATTAAGCAAACACTAGTAAAAGAAAATGTTCTGAGGCTAGAGAAATGCCTCAGTGGTAGTTAAGAGTGTTCTTATTCAGGACTCAGTCTCCAGCACCCACGGCCATAGGATCAGGCAGCTCATCAGCATCTGTAACTCCAGTTGCAGGGATTCAAATGCCCTCTGAACCCTGCAGGCGCCACATGCAAGTGGTGATCATAAAATCTTACAGGCATTCGCACGAGGAAAAGAAGTCAGTCTTGGGACTAGGGAGAGGGCTCAGCAGTTAAGAGCACTTCTTCTTGTGTATGCTTCCCAGCACCCACAGGCTAGCTCACAACCAACTTTAACTACAGTTCTCAGGGATCTAATGTCTTCTCCTGAACTCTGCAGACACCAGGGCATGTGCACGGTACACAGACATACATTCAGGGAAAACACTAATTAACATAAACTAAATAAATCTAAATTCTGTTTGATCTTTAGAAGAAAATGTATGTCCAAACTGGGGGGGAGGAGCAGGCAGACATCTGCACCCCCTGATTGGTGGGGAGAAGATGACAAGCTTTTAGGAAAAATAACGTTTCTTGTGTGTGGTAGCACAAATTAGAAAATAGAAAGAAACATTTAGTGGTTGCTGGGGGGAAAAGAATGAAAATTGAGAGTCCTGTTTATGCAAAGTCAATGTACCTCGGATTATAAGAGGAAAGTCATAATTTCTAGGACTATGGTGTGGAACTTTTGAACAAAATATAAGAAATACTTTTTTTAAACTTTTATCCTGTTTTAGTTAAACGTAAAGATATAAAGAGAGGCTAGGTTAAACTTTTGTAGGTTAATTTATAGCCCGTTCCCTGTAAAAGTATCTGCAAGTCATAACTCCCAGTACTTCAGTGTGATCTCTTCCCCAAACTGCAGTTTGAATTGGTTAAGATGAGATCATACTGGAACAGGGCGAGCCCTATAAAAAGAAGAAATTTGGAGACAGACACACATGGGAAGAGTGCCATTTGAAGATAAAGACAAAGTTAGGGGTGATTTTTCTTCCAGCCAAGAGCGTATGTGTATGCGCACACACACGCACGCACACACACACACACACACACACACACACACACACACACACACACACTCCAACAAGAAACCAAAAGCTAGAAAAGCAGCCTGGAATAGGTTCTACACCACAACCCTCAGAAGGCGTGACCTCTGGGCACTTGAATTTCAAACTTGTGCCCGCCAAGTCTATGAGGCAAAACATTCCATTTAGGCCACTGAGTTTATGGTACTTTAAAACTGAAGCCCTCACAAATACAAACTAACACAGTGGTTTCAGTGCTCCTCATAGAGGAGAATGGAGACAGCATTGGGAAAACAAAAGGCTTCCTTTATTGTAGGAATGAGGTCTTATGCCTTATTGGGGAAAACGGTGCCTTGATGTATCAGCTTTCTATAACTAACAGATTACCACACATGTAATGGATTGTAACTATACAAATCCATTGTTGGTTTTAATATTAGCAGTTTCCATGTGGTAGTCACCTACAGAGTAGCTGAGTCCTCTGAGTCCTTAGCTAAGGACCCTGGCACTTTTGGGTTAAAGTAGTCATATGGTTCTAATTATGTGAGGAAAAAAATAGAAGTTAACTATTTGTCCATCTAAATAACAACAGAGAGAGTAGCCTTGGAAAAAGTTATCTGGGCATGAATAGAATTCCAGTGTGGCTTGTGGTTCTGACAGAACCACAGGTATTCCTGGAAAACAGGGCCTTTTAAAGACAAAATGAAGTTCATATAAGCTTCCTTAAAGCAGGCTGAAGGCCACTGCAAAGCTGATGTTAACACATTGATGGAGACAGCCATTGAAATTGTCTATTGAATCTCTGCAGTCTTAAATAAGTTATGAGAAAATTTAATACAGAAAATGTAATGTGTATAAAATGAATATGGTGAGTAAATAAAGCATGTATGAGATGCATGTAGATGACAGAACACCTTTGACTTTTACCCCAGACACAATCGTTGAGTTCCCACTCCTTCATGAATACCAGCTCTAATTTGGGGTGGACAGTGACTTCAGCAACTTTGACACAGTAAAGGACTAAAATCTACATTGACACCTCCAGTCGAAAAGAGGGACTATGAGTAGAAATAAGGAAAAGGAAAAGGAAGGAAACATAACATGGGAATGTGATGAAGGAGATCAGTGATCGTAGTGATACTGGATTGAAATCAAAACACCTGCATCCTGCTTTTTAGGAGCACACTTAAACTGAAGATACTTCCTCTGATGGCAAATAGGTGTTGAGAGCAGCCTTCCTGTTGAAGACTGCAAAGTGGGACAAGATTAAAAATCATCTTCCTAAAAACATGCTGACATCGGCCTGGGTTGTTTAGTGATCTCCATAGGACCTCCTCAGCCAACAACTCAACCAAAAGGAAGCCTTGCCTGGGGACAAAATATGGCCAGTTGAGACTCCATATCCTCTGTTACAGAGTCTTCACTAGGGTCAACCTCATAGATTCCAGGAAGTTTTTACTGTACTAGTTACTCCACTACACCCAAAATGCCCCCCAATTACAGCTGCCTCTCCCTGCACTGTCTCCCCCCCACCCCCTCTCACACACCTGATCCCTCATGCTCTCATCCCAAGTTCACCCTCAGAATATATTCTATTTTCCCTTCCCTGGGAGATCCATGCTTGTCCCTATAGTTCTCTTTACCTAACCTCTCTGGCTCTGTGGATCATAGCTTGAATATCATTTACTTAACAGCTATATTCACTTATAAGTGAATACATACCATATTTGTCTCTCTGAGTCTGGGTTACTGTAATATGCATTCTTCCCACCAGCCTGGTCCCTGAGCCGCATCAGTCCCAAATGAACATGCAGGACACCATATTAATTATGAAGCTGTTGGCCATTTGCTATGGTTTCTTAATGACTAGCTCTGACTTAATTATTAACCCATAATTACTAATATATATTTTTATAAGGTCTTATCTTACCAAGAATGCCAAACTTGAGCATTCTCCCCCACCCCCAGGATCACATGATGACTCCCTACCCTTGACTACATTTCCCAGAATCCTCCTCGACTCCTAGTCCCACCTATCTTGCTTTCCTATTGGCCAAAAGTGCTTTATTTATCAACCAACAGGATAAACATGCACACAGGAAGACTTAACCCATCAGGTTACTTTACTCTGGTTGATCTTTTCTAACTACATCCATTTGCCTGCAAGTTTCATGGTGTCATATTTTTTAACAGCTGAGTAATATTCTATTGTGTAAATGTACAACAATGTCTGTATCCATTCTTCCATTGAGGGAAGTTTAGGTTGTTTACAGTTTCTGGCTATTATGAATAAAGCTGTAATGAACATAGTTGAGGAAGTGTCCTTGTGGTAGGATGGATAGAGCATTTTTGTACCAGGAGTGGTATAGTTGAACCTTGAGGTAGGTTGATTCCTAATTTTCTGAAGAACCTTTACATTGATTTCTATAGTGACTATATAAGCTTGTGCTCCTATCAGCAGTGTCCCACATCCTCTCCCGTGTAAGCTGTCACTTGTGTTATTGATCTTATCCATTCTGACAGGTGTAAGATGGAATCTCAAGGTAGTTTTCATTTGCATTTCCATGATGGCTAACA